CAGCACCTTCACCAGCCAGGGGTTGAGTAGAAAGTAAACGGCGGTGTTGTATGAATGTATGTACATATGTAACGTGTAAATGATGTAAATATGGATTGACGACGGTTTAACTGATGTTCTGAAGGTATATAGGTGTAGAAGGGAGGGTTTGAGGGGGGGTCGTGGTGTACTTTGGGGGCTCCGTGGGGTCGTGAGGGGGTGGGGGCTCCGTGGGTCATTTTGGTCAAAAATGTCGCATTTCACCCAATCACCAAAAACTCATCGGATATCGACGACGCTCGACGCCGCGGTCACGCCCAAAGTTAAAGTTGTTTCACTTTCCAAATCGTTTTTGTTCGAAAGATATCGCGAAAAACAAGATTGTGAATATTTGCCCGAACGGACCATACGGTTTCTAAGAATGACCATGACCAAGCTTTCAAAACCATGCAAGGCTTTTCCGGCCACGCTCACATCCGTTCTTTTCGCGATGAGGTCCCTCGTACGAAACCCGCGTCACTTGATGTTTGAGAACGTTTCTGGGTTGGTTGCGTGGTGACCATTTCGCAACGAACGGACGGGGTGTGTGCAGCAAGAAGACTACAACAGTCTTCGTCGAGGCACGGACGTAACGTTGTCAGATGCTTGCAAGGACATTGCTGGGGCAGTTTCACTCTATTTTCAACTCTAGATGGGCGAAGCTGTCTGTTCGATCGAGTAGGCCGTCATCTCTCCATGGATATGGCCAGGAGCCGAGCCCAGGTTTTACGTGCGCTGTTCCCGTTGTTCTGGACGTTTGTATTAATTTTCACCTTGCAGCATCTTTTCCGCACACATCATGCCGGGTCACACAAAAACAAAAAACGCCTCGATCCAGAGAAATTCATATCAACCGAAAGTTCCAACATGTCGAATCGCTTTTCCAAGGAAGTTAGGGATAAAAAGCAAGCATGCGTGCAAGTTTTTTCGGTGTCCAACAACACCAAAAATCTAGGCCAACAAGAGGCAGACATGGGTGTCTTGATCCCTGCTGAAGCTCACCGTCACTAGCCTATTACTAATGGTTCTGTCTCCCACAAGATCAACAGAAAGAAACTTTTCTATACTATATTGTATCCACCAAGACCAATCACAATCGCACCGAGGTTTCACAACACGTCCAGAGAACAGAGCAACAAACACGGACAAATCCACGCCAAACGTCTTCTACAAGCTACTACAAGATCACCGGATTACAAGTAGTGTTGACCTTCGAGTAGTGCACGACGTGGCCGTTACGGTGCCTGTACGACCATGACGTGAACCAGGCTGCCGACTGCTGCCCGTTAGTGGGCCTCGCAGCACTGCTCGGTGGTGCAGTCGTCGTTGTTGCAACGGGTCGTGCCGGCGTCCTCGATGGGGATGTAGTTGTCCGGGCACGCGTGGTAGCTGCAGTAGGCTTCGCAGCACTGGCCGACATCGCAGTCGCCGGAGCACTCCACCTCCCAGGCGTTGGGGATGGGGGTGTATCCGCCCGGGCAGCCGATCGAGTTGCAGTACACCACGCCTGCCGGGGGCTGCCCCTCTCCGGTGTTGCCTGTCAACATCCGATCAAGAGATTTGTTCAGGTCGGCAGAAAGGATTGTTCTTGCCCCAGATGGGGACGCCGTCATGTCAACTCGGGACGTTTGGTATCTCCTTTCCATACAGCTTGTTTGTTGAGGAGCTCTCGTGCCTTACCGTTTACAGCCATCATATTTGTTCTCAACAAAACAGGAGTGATTTTTCATTGCAACACAGCTGCAAACGACCTCTGGATGAGCTGTTCCAACTCTGTAACAGCGAGATGGGTGACAGCAAAATCAAACGCCACGACGGGGGTCTCACCAGAAACGCAGCACTGTTCGCTGGTGCAGTCGTCGTTGTTGCAACGGGTCGTGCCGGCGTCCTCGATGGGGATGTAGCTGTCGGGGCACGCGTAGTAGCTGCAGTAGGCCTCGCAGCACTGGGAGACCTCGCACGAGTCGCCAGAGCACTCCACCTCCCATGCGTTCGGGATGGGGGTGTATCCGCCCGGGCAGCCGATCGAGTTGCAGTACAGCACGCCTCCCGGGGGCGGGGGAGGCGGTCCCTGCCCGTTTCCTCCCGGGGGCGGCGGGGGCGGCCCCTGCCCCCCTCCGGTGTTACCTGTACAGAACGAAATGTTCAGGTCGGCATTGGGGATTGTTGAGTGCTTTTAACACCTTGGTTGCTCGGCCGCCACTCAAGGAGAACCCCGCCGGGGGGAGGGGGGCGCGTACCCTTTTTTCCCAACAAACGACTCATTTCAACGAGTAGTTTCCTCACGTCTTGCTCCAGATAGACGAACGTCACCATACCAACACTGGCCTTTGGGAGTTTTATCTATACCGCGGTCTTCGTAACATGCCGCAAGAAACCATCTTTTTCGTTCTCACCTAACGCATGTTTCGTGGGACAGCTCAAAAACCTTTCTTAGATGTACACAAAACCTCTCCCGGACGAACTGCGGTGCAAAAAGTACACTACTGCAGTGAGGCCGGGGTGACCCAAGAGAAAAGGGAGGCAACAACCTGAGAGCAAATGCCACGACTCAGGCCTCACCAGAAACGCAGCACTGCTCGGTGGTGCAGTTGTCGTTGTTGCAACGGGTCGTGCCGGCGTCCTCGATGGGGATGAAGTTGTCCGGGCACGCGTGGTAGCTGCAGAAGGCTTCGCAGCACGTAGCGACATCGCACGAGTCGCCGCACTCAACCTCCCAGGCGTAGGGGATGGGGGTGAACCCGTCCGGGCAGCCGATCGAGTTGCAGAGCCCCTCCTGAAGTGTGGGAGACAAGATTGAGGGGTGGGGGTGGGGAGAGAGCGGCGGTCCGGGAGGGGATGGGTGCAAGTAGCGTAAATCCGGGAAATTGATTCGGGCACGCCTCACTACACTAAACAGGAACGGACAGCTACCATCAGCGCGGCTATCCTCCGTTACCAAAATTCGAGCTCATACGCATCGCTCTGCTTGACGAACTCACGTGAACCCTCTCGTAGAAAATGACCGACATGTACATTATTCGTCGCGTTTAGGGCGGCGGGGGGGTGAAATCGACTGACTTTTGTCCTCACAACTGCCATGAGTTTGGACGGTTTCACGACAGCAACGAAGTCGCACGAGGAGAATGCAAACCAGACGGCACAGCTGCGAAGACAAAAATAGTTTCTCCGCATCTGACGAAGCCTCTTAATCAGCGGTTGACAAGTAACGGCAGTTGGGGATGTACCCTACTTCAGGAGGAACTCCCCTCTCTCCGCTCCGTACCTGAAGGCGCCGGCCGTCCGCTGCCGCAGCACGTTCATCAAGCCATCGAATGAGCGACGGGGAAAAGGGCAGTCAGAAACGGACGTGAGGCTCGCAGTGTTGACGGGGGGCAACACCAACACTTGGGGGACGATTCGGCTACAGCTTCTCAAAAGATCATGTGTAGAACACAAAAAAAAGAGCACGTCATCGGCGACTGCTGTACGCACTTTGAAAAAAACATACTTTCATCCATTGTTCTTGCACACTTTGTTCCCAACAGATGGTTCCCTATGTATCAAGGAAGATCGTCAACTGTCGGACGAATTATAAGTGGCGAGAGGTGGTGGTGGCCGTTAAAGATTCCTTCAATTGTAGAGAGCCCGAGAATGCTTACAGGATTGCAGGGAAGCATGAGCAATCAACAATGGGTGCAAGCTGGTCGACAGGCGGAATTTGACAAATAATCCGCCCCCAAGTCATCCGCTGATGGCACGCTTGGCTGTCGTCATCGTTTGATGGAACATTCTCTGCATATATTTTCGGCTAGATTTCCATGTGCAGATGGACAGATGCACGTGGCCAATGATCTCAACTGATAAAGGCGCGTGGCTCGGCGGTGTGCATTTGACAGATGAACTTGTTTGGATCCAAGCGCCAAAACACCTTGCTTGTACGGTCTCGAATCTCGGCGGAACGAAAGACAGCAGTGACAAACTTGCATTTGCTCTCCCCCCCCGACCCCCCGATTCACACCAACAACATTTGGTCAAAAGCCTCAACGTTGTTGAATGGAGCATAGGGTATCGGCGCCTCTCATGCGCGTGGCACGCTCGCTCGCGAAAGCGCCTGGGTGCGTCGGAATGTATGTGAATGTTTGAGTTGGATCCAAGCGCCAGAAAATAAGTGCTCGGTGGTCGCAATCGATCTCGGTCAGAAAACTGCTGAAGTTGCGATTGCCCCGCCCTAAACAAAAACGGGTCCAAACGAAAGCCTTTACCGTTGCCGGAGCGGAGAGAGGCGCCTGCCGCGGACTGCAGAGCCACCAGGCCAGTGACGAACGTGAGCGAAAGACGCGGCATCCTGTGTTGTCGCTGCAATGCATACATGCGCAAGAAAAGCAAAGAGGAGGGAAAAACTCAGGAGGCCAAATGAGACCACCACGACGATGCATCAGACGAAGAAGGGAAGGAAACATGGCAAAATGGGGGAGGATGGATTCAGGAGTCTCGTCCTTGTTGGGAGCATTGCCCCCGCAGCAGCGTACACAGGTCAGGATAACCATCACCACTCACTGCTGCGCCTGTGAGCCGTGCATTCTGAAGGCTAAAAGGTCCGCTGCCCCTGGGAATTATGCCAACCGAAGTCGTCCTCTCATTCATCCGATCGATGTGTTCTCTGAGATGATTTCTATGCGCAGCAGGAGGAGGAGCTGTGGACGACATCACCAATTTATTACTCGTGCAGCCATGCATTGAGAGGCAACATCCCGTATGCATGCGTGTGGACGTGTGCATCACAGCCTGAACACGGTAGCAGGGGAGTACTGCACCTACCTGCTGCTTGAAGAAGAATATGTTGGATGTAGGGAGAAGGAGGGAGGATGGTTGGTTGTGTGGTGGTGGGGGCTATGGGGCGGGGGTGAGAGGTGGTGAAGCCACCTTTTGATTGTTTGCCGAGCTGGCCGTCGGAACTACTTTTGCTTGATGATGATTGGCGTGAATAACTTTACAACCTATAAGAACCTTCCTCGGTACCCAACGGGTGTATTGCGGCGGGCGTGAGCTGTCGTGCGAGATTTTTGGGCGAACAGCGTAAACAATTACACAAAAAAAGACAACCCCCGGCCACAACAAGCAAGCCGGAATAGTCTATAGATATACGCACTACTACTGTAATTCCCCCTCTTTACTGTGTTTATCGATTGAGCGGCGATATACCATGGTCTAGCTTCTCTTCTCTTTCGGTTGGTTGCCTGCTGCACACCACTTGGCAGTCACGGCTGCAGATCACGATTGATTTCATCACAACAGCCCACAAAGAAAGTTCGCCCGCACAGTAATGTCACGAATATTCTGTGAAGAACGGATATTGAACAAAAAGAGCCGTTGACCTTGACCTTGACCGATTTTTGACCGTATATTTAATTTATATTTGTGCGCAAGGTGGTGGAGTAAGAGATCCTTCCCGGCTGTTTCCTACCGGCAGGTTCCTTTCCCACCCGACTCACTCACTGCTGCTCTAGGCTTCAACTCATAAATCCCTTTTTCGACTGAGGGACGGTGTATCTCGAACCGGTATCTTTCGGTGATCGATTCGTGTGAATCTTCTTACTTTTTCTGAGGTTGTTTGTCATGCATGCATGCCCGCCGCTTTCGTCTCCGCTGCACGTTGTCCCCCCCGCTGCCGCACTCTGAAACACCACCCACCTTCAGACAGACGGAGAGCGGGTAACATATCTTTACATTGCACATGATGAGGATTGATGTCTTTAAAGGGTATGCCTACCTAGTACGTAGTTTAGCAGTAGTCGCAGTTATCGCGGTTGTGATGCTGCTGCTCGAGGTGACAAAGAAAAGCGCGGTGATCTCCAAAACGAAACTGCACCGTCTGTAACTGCTGCTCCCCCGCCGAATGACCTACCGTATATGACATAAGATAACACACCCCCTTGACCATTTTTCGAAGCTCGATTTATCAACATCACGAACATTCACAACGCCGAAAACGGCGGCGTTGAAACCGTCTTGTCGACAGATTTTTGAAAATGTATCGTTTCTTTTATTCACCCTCTTCATTGTATTTGTGGAGTACAGTAATCGAGTTTTGGAGGGAGATGATAATAACACATGTGTGTGTCATTTTATTTGACACATAGGGGATGATAACGACTGTCCCCGGGGTTTCCACAGTAGAATTACGGTTCCTATGCAGGTAGTCTGCGCTGCGGGAAACGCCCGAGACAAAATACTACGTGCGGGTGAGAGTTTTTTTAATGCCGTGTGTTTCCTGACAGCTGGATTGTGTACATACAGTGCGCGCGCGTGTGCGGAGGTTGCAACACCGACGCCCCGCCATATCTTTGGTAAAGCGGTAAATCCACAGCACTCCCTGTGTAGACTATGTATGTATATGTTGTATGTGTATCCTGTGGTCATGGTCGGGCCGATCTCGCCGAGTTTGGGGCCTCGGGAGCCGAAACTTGGTTTCTGTAGGCACAGAAGGCCGTACTTTGTGATTCCTTGCCTTTCGCGACGATCAGGTGCCTGTAGTGCTCTCAGTGCACCCGTCTCTACCTGTGTTATTGTGCGCGCAGACTACCTGCATAGGAACCGTAATTCTACTGTGGAAACCCCGGGGACAGTCGTTATCATCCCCTATGTGTCAAATAAAATGACACACACATACATGTATGTGTTATTATTATCATCTCCCGAGTTTTGGAAATCGGTCCCGGGAGTGTGTTATCTTGTGTTATTTACGGTATGTACCTCCATCTGTTCCAGAGAGCATTCCGCAGACCCCCCAACACACCGCACTCAATCCCAACACACACGCTTGTTGCATGCATTACACTGCTGCTGCTACGCTGTTGGTTGTGTACACGTGCCATGAAGAACCCCCTTTTAGCCGGAGGGGGGGGGAGGCGAGATGGCTCGATCGCCTTGCCAGCGCTGCAGAAGTTGTTGCAGCTGGCTTACTCTGAGGACACCGACCACCAACTGCAGGTGAGTTGATCCCTCTGCAACAAGGGCAAAGGTCGCAACAAACGTCGCGAGAGAGAGACATTCAGCCCGGGTCATATTGCCTTGAGTTATGTTGCCTACTGAGCTCGGTTTCGATCTCAGTTCGGGTTGCTATGTAGATGGTGGTGATACTTGTCAGTTTGACTGGTCTGTGCTGCGGAAAAATTATTACTCTGGGCGAGATGCGGGGCGGTGGGTGAGGTACAGCAGTGGGGGGCCATGCTTGGCGACCCCCACTGCTGTAGTCGACATTACTAAGAATGATCGCTATTCAGGGCATGTCGCTAAACCCGGTATAGCGACCATCCCGGTTTGGCGACCATTGGTCGCTAAACCGGGGCCCTCAATAGCAACTAGCGGTCGCTAAACCGGGAAATAGCGCCATTTCGTGGGACTAAAGACGCCTTGTTGCAGAAATATTATTGATCGGGTCATGCATGCGTCTTATTACAGCAGCAACATGAAGGTAGAGGAAAGAAGACGCAGCATAGGGTGGATAACCGGGGAGTACTTCCTCTACGGTATGCATTCTAATCCACCAGCAAGCTTGTTGTTCCCTCCGAAGTTTGCAGGAAATGTCTCAACAACAAGTGTAGAGAGGGTGCCCTGTCTTGTATGTTCGCGCATGCAGAATAACCTGTCCCTATATAATTACAAAAACACACACATAGAAGTCCGATCGGCGAATTTGAAAAAACAAAAAGTTATAGCAACGTCCCCCAAAACAGAATAGTAAAACACCCCTGCATGGCACGGAGAGAAGTTCGTGAACGCCCAAGTGGCAAAAGAACCTCGCGCTGCTATTATAGTGACTTCATTATGCTACTGTCGCGTGTTACCGATCATGTTTAACTCAACATGTCTCTGACGTCTTTCTGTCGCGCTGGTTTCGCGGAGTGTGCTTCGATGAACAGCATCTTTGCCTTGCCAAGATGGTATGCTGCCTCGCTTAGTCCACGACTCCTCACACTCTTCAAGCGATCCAAAATGCGACGAAAACTCCGAGTAGGGCGGCGGCGCCATCACT